TCCCTTCTGACCGTAACATCTATGAATCGCGTATGCTGCGGCTGTGCACATGCACACAGCATTTATCAGTGACATTATTGGCTACATTGGCTAAAAATAGCCAATGTAGCCAATAATGTCAATTTTCCACTTATCAGACCAGCACCAATATGGACCAATATATCGGTGCACCTCAAGTAATAGCTGTTACCGATGAAAGATGATGGCTCACACCTTGATCTGTTTAGGGCAGCCTTAAGAGAAATGCAAGGGTGAGAGGCTGAATGCATCTGCATAAGTACCCCACAGTCATTTGTTGCTTTTTGGTGCAATGTATCCATGACCCTTTGATTGTTTTAGTGCATAAAGCCAAAATGGGTCACCTAGTCCCCTTTTTGTCTCTGCTCTTAATTTAAAAAAAAAAAAAAAAAAAAGCAGGAACTGGAATAGCAGCCCAACCCTGAGATGCTTTCAAGAGTGCTGGGACACCTTTGCAGGTTGTTGGTTGGTTAAATTCTCCTAGTCCCTGCAGAACTTTCCAAGCAGCATGGGATGAAAATTTGATCAGGATGAGTTGATTAACTTGAAATTCTGAAGTCACAGGAAAATAATTTGAATGGGATGATGCTTGATTTTTATGTTCACTTGTATTGTGTATTCTTCACCTGTCAGTGGGCTCTTAGACTGAAGTTCCTTGTTTTAATTTTACAAAGTGGAAATTGACACAGTGATCTGTATGTGACTTCTAAGATGGCTAACTCTTAAGCTCCAACTGTGTTTAAAATCAAAATTAATTCTATTTGTAAGTTATGGCGAGACGTACATACACTGGTTTCAGCTGAACCGTAAGCAAGCTCATGTATTTTGCTGCCTCCTGGCTTTCTCATTCACCATTTCTCTTGGTTTTTCAAGTACAAAACAAGGGACAAACCCCATGACCAAACCTGCCTATCAACAGGGAATGAATTTGGCTCCTTATTCAGGAAAGCAATCTAGTTGAGACTGCTGCCCAACAGCAACAGTTTCAGGCAGCTGTAGCTGACCCTTATCATAACCCTTTGTTTGTTTGGTAATGATGGCCCCAGTTGGCTCTAATCTCCCCACAAATTTTGCTTCATTACTTTCAGAATCCTAAACCTGGATAAAAAACAAGTTGATTTTGTTTTAAGTTGTCCATCTCCTTCACGTGTAGAAATGCTCTATCTGATTTCTTTTTGCTCATGCTGTAATGCTTATGCCATGCAGAGGACAACGATTCTGTTTGACAATGTTTGAAGAGACTAATCACTGGAGTAGTATGATGTGTAGCCATTGGTATGGCCTTTTAACTTTTCCAGGAGTTGCAGACCTACAAAACTTGATGCCCTAGAACATAGCATACCTTTCACCCTTTGCCAGGAGCATAGTCGTAGCTCAGTAATCTCGTTAAATGACACCGGACAAATTCCGTTAGTGGTTTTTAAATTTAAATGAACCTTCTAGAGATTTTTTTTCAGAAAGTCTAAAAATAGGCAAATACTCTCCCTTCCTGAAAAAGAATGATCTTTTTTATAGTTGTTTTTTGATTCTGATGTACTTCATATGTGACGACTGAAGTTGTATTTACAGTGATCTCTGAATGCTTTGCCAAGTTTAACTGAACTGACAAATATTGAACAAGAGGTCTTGATGTTTCAATCCTTTGCTGCAGATTGAAGAAGGAATTGTGGTTATGGAAGATGATTCTCCTGTGGAGGCCATTAGTACCCCTAGTACACCTCGTAACCTTGCTGCTTGGAAGATTAGCATTCCGTATGTGGACTTCTTTGATGATCCCTCTGTTGAAAGGAGAGAGAGAAAAGAGAGGATTCCTGTATTTTGTATCGATGTAGAAAGAAACGATAGAAGGGCAGGTAGGAATCCTTGTACATAAAGTATTACTTTAAAGATTGTATCAAAATATCTTTATTGTCTTCAAACGAATGTCTAACAAATTAAGTCCTTGAGAATGTGGGTGTGCCTTAACATCAGTTGAAAACGCAGCTTTGCGCCATAATATGGTACTTTTACAAACACCTGCTGGTACAGCACCCTTTTAGGCATATTCAAAAGGAGAGGATTAGCAAGGCTTCAGCTTTCATTACATAGAAATTTCCATCTATAATGGTATGTTCAAATACCACATGCTTCTGGTATCCTATAACATGTGCTGTGCTTCTGTGACTTAGCGCTAGGTCGTGAACCATATTTACCTATATTCAAGATGACTCTGAATTTTAAAATAGGATTCAAATTGGAGGGCAGGTGGTGGGGGAGGGGTGGGGGCAAGCAGGTTGATCCTTGCCCCCAACACCTTGTCCCCTGATGCCTGTCTGCTACTACCACTTGTGCCCCTTGCCTGCCTGTCCTCCACCTCCCTCACCTTTTACCCTTACTCTGGCTCCAGCAGGCTCATTCCCTGCTGCAGTCTGGGGCAAGGAGCATGCATTTCCTCTAGCCCCTTAACAGTGGTGGTGGCATGTCAGCTCTGGCCCTGGCACTGCTGCTGTTACTGGTTGGCCTGGCTGGAGCTGGAGTAAATGCATGCTGTGGGGTGGGGGGGATGAGTGGAAGGGGCAGAGGCTGAGGCTGTGGGTGGAGGAAGAGATGTGGGTGGCGGGGTGTAGCTGAGGCACTGGGGAGGACAGGCAACAGCTGTAGCCCCAAACCTGACCCTTGGTTGAGGCTGGAGCCACAGCAGCCTGGGTTTTAGCAGCCTGCCTCCTGCTGCTGGAATCCAAGGAGAGGGGCACTTCCTCATGTTTTATAGGGGGGAAAATAACTTGGATTTGAATAAATATGGTGTGTAGCTGGATGCGGATACATCAGAATATTACTGGCAATACTGGGGACTTAATAACACTGAGGGTTTTCTTTCTGTACTCTTTAATATATGCTTGCTGTTAGGTGCTGATATATCGGTGCCAATCTGATATGTAAGGAAAATTGACGGTATCGGCAATCGGCTTTTTTGTCTGATGTGACCGATTTTAATGTTTTTGATAAATGCCCTGTGCATGCGTGCAGCCACAGTGCAGCACAGCATGCAGGTGACCAGCAGCGCAGCCTGGCAGTGTGGAGAGCAGCTGGGTCCAGCTAGCAAGTCTGTGAGGGAAGGGGTTTGGGGGGGCAGATCAAGGCTCCCATGGTGAGGGAGGGAGTGGGCCTAGGGCAGGGAGTAAGCACTGCACAGCCAGGGCGGGGCATGGGATAGAGCTGTGAGCAGCTTGTCTGGGGAGTGCGGGGGGTGGAGCACGCCCTCTGGGAGGGCATGGGGTGCATGTGCCTCTGGATCTGCACGTGGGTCAAGGGCAGGCTATTCCCCACTCCCCATGCTGCTGCTGCCTTCCCCAAGTGCAACTCTAGCCCAGGCCCCCTGCCAGAAAGAGCGTAGCCTGCCCTTGAGTTTAGCCTGCCCTTGCCCTGCATACAGATCTGGGGGCACATGCTCCCCCCCCCGCCCCCCATGCCCTCCCACAGTGGATGGAGCGGCGGGAGCTGCCCCCTTCACACACCCCTGGACGAGCCACTTGCAGCTCCGCCTTGGCTGTGCGGCCCCAGCCCCACTCCCTCCTTCAGCGTTGGGGCCTCGATCTGCCCCTTCTTCCACAGCAGACTTACCAGCTGACACTGCTCTCCAAGCTGCCAGGCTGCATATCAGTAATTGGATTGGTATCGGCCAGTATAGCTCATTAAAAATCAGTTATCTGTATCGGCCCAAAAAACCTCTATCAGTGTACCCCTGCTTGCTGTGTTGAGCTCTTTTTGCTTTTTTCATCCTTTTCCCAAGTATAGAAACAGATTTTACTTCCAATGTTCTTTTGTTTTGTGTGTTAATCTCCTCAGTTGGGCATGAGCCTGAACACTGGTCTGTCTATAGAAGATACCTTGAATTTTATGTGCTTGAGTCTAAGCTAACAGAATTTCATGGTAAGTTCAATTTACCCAGGGAAGTTGCCATCCTGTTCTAGGGATTTGGTTTTTTAAATTGATCTGAAATTAAAGATAGTAAAACAGGTTTTTCTTTTTTAAAGAAGAATTGAATCTTTTTTCCTTTTTACATATCAGGCACATTTCCTGATGCTCAACTTCCTTCAAAGAGAATCATTGGCCCAAAGAACTATGAATTCTTAAAGTCAAAGAGGGAGGAGTTTCAGGAGTATCTACAGGTATAAGACAAACTGCTCTTGCACTTTTCTAGATTGCCTAATCATGAGGCTAGTACAACTTTACTTATACCAATTTGTTCCCAGTAACTTTCAGTATACTAAAAAGTGGCTTATGTTCAAATACCACATACAAAATATTTGTGAGTTTTCTATGACATGAACACTTTTTTTTAATGTACAATTTTAAATGTTTAATTTTCAAACATTGAATTAAAAATATTGGGTAAACAAGTAGTTTTTAGGATACACTGTTTTAGGAATCTCTTGTTGATGGTAAATAATTGGGAAATCAATTTTAAGCATGTTCTTATATCCACTTCTCTCATTCTTTTTTTATTTTGTTTTGTTTTTTCTCTCAAAGAAACTGCTTCAGCATCCAGAGCTGAGTAACAGCCAGCTTTTGGCTGATTTTCTGTCTCCCAATGGTGGAGAGACTCAATTTCTCGATAAAATGTTGCCGGATGTAAATCTAGGTATGTAACATGGTTGCCACATATCTTGATAAATAGGATTGTTAGGTGCACTGTAATGCAGACAGTTAAACTGAGGTCAGTACTGACTGTCTGAATTTTTGTAATTTTTGGGTGTGGAGGGAAATGTGATCTTTCTGCTGCACAGCTAGATTCTGGAAGACAAGGTATTTGACATTTACATCTAACTGCTGGAGAGGAAGGAGTATTGTGAGGACAAGCTGAATATTGAAGTCTAACAGATTTGATGTTGAAGATCATGGTTTGGTGGGTGGGAGAGGGAGAGAGTTGATAAGACGAATGTTTTTTAATTTACTTTTAGATGTTAGCTGATCAAATCAGTTTAATCTAGAAGTTGCCAGACTCTGATCTCTCACCCAGAGAGTAGTGGTGGATGGGTCTTTTTCGACCTGGCGAGATGTGAGCAGTGAGGTTCCCCAGGGCTGTGTTCTCGGGCCTGCACTGTTCAACATCTTCATCAGCAACTTGGATGAGGGGGTAAAAAGCCCCCTGTTCAAATTCACAGACGATACTAAGATGTGGGGGGATGTGGGTATGCTAGAAGGGAGGAATAGGCTGCAATCGGACCTAGACAGGTTACAGGGGTTGGCAGATGAGAACACGATGGGTTTCAACACTGACAAGTGCAAGGTACTGCACCTGGGGAGGAAGAACCAGCAGCATACCTACAGGCTGGGGAACTCCCTTCTCATCAGTTCAGAGGCAGAAAAGGATCTTGGAGTCCTTATTGATACCAAAATGAACATGGGCTGACAATGTGGGGATGCGGTCAGGAAGGCCAACCGCACCTTGTCATGCATCCACAGATGCATCTCAAGTAGGTCCAAGGAGGTCCCCCTCTATGTGACACTGGTCAGGCCGCAGTTGGAGTACTGCGTCCGGTTCTGGGTGCTGCACTTCAGAAGGGATGTGGACAACATGGAGAGGGTCCAGAGGAGGGCCACTCGCATGATTAGGGGGCAGCAGGGCAGACCCTATGAGGAAAGGCTAAGGGACCTGAACCTGTTCAGCCTCCACAAGAGAAGGCTGAGGGGGGATCTAGTGGCCCTGTATAAAGTAGTCAGGGGGGGACCAGCAGGCATTGGGGGAGTCCCTGTTCCCCCGAGCACTCCCAGGAGTGACAAGGAATAACGGTCACAAGCTGGCAGAGGGTAGATTTAGGCTAGACATCAGGAGGTGCTTCTTCATGGTTAGGGTGGCTAGGATCTGGAACCAACTTCCAAGAAAAGTGGTGCTGGCTCCTACCCTGGGGGTCTTTAAGAGGAGGCTGGATGAACACCTTGCTGGGGTCGTTTGACCCCAGTACTCTGTCCTGCCATGGCAAGGGGTTGGACTTGATGATCTGCTCAGGTCCCTTCCGAGCCTATAAACTATGAAACTAATGTTGTGCTGTTTCTTGCATAACAAGAATATTGTATTGAATTCAGGATGGTGTGTCAGCGGTTCATTCTGTAGCTTTAGGCTACTTTCTGGCAGCTGTGACCACATCATTCAATCTTTCTAGATTTTCCTCTGTTGGTACAACTTAATCCCATTCAAACAAGTTTGTGTCCTGTCATCATGGCTTTTTGGATAGACATGTTTGATCCAGTCCCAGGGTGGGGTGTCACTTCCTCTAACATAACTTCAGTTAGTAAAGAGTCTTCTAGTAGACAAGAATTAATTTCAAGAGATGTGAGAAGTACCTGTACACAAAGCTTACATAACCTTGCAATTTAAAGTCATTATACAACAATAATTTTCTTGTCTATTTTATTTTATAGTGTTAAAAAGCTCCACATATTCACTTTAAAGCATCCTTAAACTGTTCTGTTGCACTTTCAGTTGTTCAGATTAATGAGGTTCTGTTACCACTAGGGCTATGGCCCAGCGAATACCAGGAATCCCTTATTCCCAGGGATACTCTGAATTTTTCAACACCATATGTTTCTGCTGGCTGACCTTTTATTAGAGGCGGGGGAGTAATTATAGAGCTTTCCTTTGTGGCAGATGCTTGCGAAGGAGGAGAAAATGAGTACAGGTTTCCCTTGATTTTTATCCTGTATGTGCGTTCCCACAGAACGGCACATAAATCGAATTTGCATAAAGCGAGCCCACTTTACAATGTAACATGGGGATAGGTTCCCATGGTGATGAGGGAGTGAGGCTGGGACTAGGGAAGGGGCAGGGGTGCTGCTCCTGGGGCTGCACAAGGCAGCAAAGCAGAGGGAACAGAGCAGCATTTACCCCAGCCCTGGCTGCAGCAGCCCCAGGAGCAGCCAGTGCCCCGCGGCCCGGCGGGTCCCGCCGGCCTGCAGCCGCTGGGCTGTACCGTGCTCCGCCTGTCTCCACTCACCTCTGCTCCTGGGCTGCGTTGTGTCCTGGTACAGGCAGTTGGTGTCAGCTGCTTCTGGGGCTGCTACAGCCGGGGCTGGGGCAAGTGCTGCACCCCACACTGCCTGGGGCTCCGCTTGTCCACACTCAACCCAGCCTGTGCTGGTGTGGCCCCAGGAGCAGCCAACACCAGCTGCCTGCACCATGGCATGGCTGAGCCCAGGCGCAAGGGCACAGGTAGAGCATGGTGGAGCCTAGCGGCTGCAGGCAACTGGCACCAGCTGCTCCCAGGGCCTCTGCAGCTGGGACTGGGGTGAGTGGGGCCACGGCCCTTTCCCCTCCCCCCATGGACTTACCTGCATGGGTGGGGGGCATCTAGGCTGATTGCATAAGAGCGAATTTACCTCGCATATAACAAATTATGGATCTAAATATGCTCATCACATAAGAGCAAATTCGCATATAAAGAACCCGCATAAATCGAGGGGAACCTATATTGGAAGATGTTGCAACAAGTTAGTGACTGTAACTGAAAGAACTTTTTTGTCCCAGTCATGCAAGCATAACAATTATTGACTTAATTCATTGAACCATTTGGTTCTTTTTGATATATTATATGTCCTCATCCCCATGATTCCTCTATCATCTTTTCTTGCACTTTAGTGCCAAACATCCAGAGGTGTGGCTGTTCACATTCTCAAGCTGCTTTAGAAGACTGCAGAGGAAAGCCTGTAGAACTTGGTTTTCATATTCATTAAGAAATCTGTTGTGTTTTTGTAATTTATGAGTACTAATATATTCAGTTTTCTTTTTGAGGTGAGTTGCAAGTTACGTCTGTAACTTGCTTGTGTTTAGGAATTGGTTATTATCAGATGTCTGCTTTTTAAAAGAGTTTTACTTTAAATGAAGCAATAAACTTCAGTGGCACAAGCTATTTTTTTTAGACCGTCAAAATGTGGCAGGAGATGAATTGTAGCAGAATACAGGTTTTCTTGCATTGGTGCTTCTGCTGTTTAAATCTTAAGTCTCAACAAATGGTTGTAAGAAATCATACATACAGATAATAAAAGGTGGTCATGGTTTCAAAGAACTTATAGCATAACTAGGTCTGACAAAAAGGGAGGAGAAGGTATCTGTTCTGCTATTCACGAGAGCATGTAATAAATGTTTGTTCTTCGTTTTAGGAAAAATGATAAAATCTGTTCCAGGGAAGCTGATGAAAGAGGTGAGTTGATAGCATTTCTAGGTAGCCTACATTTTAACTTCAAATTCTGACTTTAATTGTGTATTGGATTTGTTTTGGAGCAACCTGTATCAAATTTAAACTGATTGTCATTGTTGCTTTGTGTGTTTCATTTCAGAAAGGTCAGCATCTGGAGCCATTCATCATGAACTTCATTAACTCCTGTGAATCTCCCAAGCCCAAACCAAGTAGACCAGAACTTACAATTCTCAGTCCCACTTCTGAAAACAACAAGAAGGTACAGTAGGAGTACAGAAGAAGTGCATCATCTTCCATATCCTCAATTTAGGGCTAGAGTAAAAGGGAAAATCCATGAAGTGACAGTTTGGCTGCACTTGTTAATGTCTGCTCTTTTGTGTGGAGAGGGTGCTACAGAGGATTTTTCTCGTGTTCATGTTCTTTTCAACTTGTTGACCATTTTACTTGTCCCTGTTTGGACTGGAGATTTAATATTATATGAATCAGGTGTAAAATAGAAGGAAGCTTACATACTATAGAGCCCTGACATGAATATTTTCCAATGAAGAGGGAAGGTGAAAGCAACAGAGTAGTTGGAGAGCATGGCAGAGGCCTGAGGTCAGCTGCTTTGAGGGTAAATGTAACAGTGGGTTTTACAGACAGATAGCCAAGACAAGTTGGTGGTGAAGGGTTTGGGGCTTACATTGTCAAAAATTAACTGTTGCAAACGTACAAGAGCTGCTACTTGTTTGGCTGTTCTAATTGAAAAGATGTGAGGTAGGGCATAGAAGTGGGGAAGTGAAGCATGCTACTTAGGCGTTTGACCACTCTTTTTTCCATGCATTCTTTTAGATCAGGGACATCAAACACATTTGAGTTGACAGGTTGCATCTGGACCCACAGGGCTTTTGGTTGAGGTTAGCACCACTGCCATGTTGGCACTGATTTCCATGCCAAACAGGGATTGAAAGACAGAAATTTGGCAGATAAACACAGAGGCAGCTTTTAACCCCCCCCCCCCCCCCCCCCCACGCCACCCCCAAGTGCTGGCTATGCTGGCACAGTGGCTCTGGGAACCATGGCGAGAAGCCTCGCTGACTGAATCCATATTGGCCCACCTCTGCAGGCCAGATCCAGCCCGTGGATTGTAGGTCTGACATCCCTACCCCAGAGCCGTGACATTCAGTCCTTGGCTGGCTCAGGAGCTACATGAGTGATCGGTGCCAAGCAAAGAATTCTACTGAGGTGAATTGTGGCAGACTCGCTCCTGTTAAAAAGAGAATTGGGTGTGTTGTGTGTTATTCAGGATTCCAGGAAAAGACCTGTCCAGTACATACAGTATAAAAAATGCTAATCTTTTCTTTAAAGAGCCACTCGAGAGCTGTGGTCCGGTGTTCCTGCCTTAGAAAATATGATTTTTAATTTTTAGTTGACTTTCTCTTACAAAATTAACTGTGATAATTTTAGTGAGGGATTTTATTGGAAAAGAGTATTTTAAAACAAATTTTGTTTTTTCTCTACAAGGTTGTCCTTAATGAAGGTAAATTATTGGGATTTGCATTCAGGATAATACCTGGGGCTAGAGTCTAGTCCAGCTATTAGGCACCTAATTAGATTTGGGTGCTTAAGTGCGAGTCCCTTCCACCCTGTCCAAGTCCTGACTGTGTGTTTAATACATCTGCTTTTGAAACACTGTTGTCTAATGTTTAGAGTCGTGAGTTGCATAAAAGCGGCAAAGAGAAGTCACCTACCTTTTGTATTAACTCTTTTTTAAGGACTGGAACAGCCATTGAAGACTCAGGCCCACTTATGTGCCTAGCTGATGGACTAGAATCTGGCCTCTAGGCCACAGCTTTATACATCAAGAATTGATAGAAAAAAATATACAACTAGGTGCACATTCTGTCCTTTGATAAATAAATACCATATTTTCTAGCATATTTTCCCCCCAAAACAGCTGGGGAAAATTGGGGTGTACACTATATGTGAGGAAAAGGACTCTCTATAGGTCTAGACATCTGTGGGGGGAAGAGGGTCAGAGTGATGGCAGCATTAGTTGTGGCTCTAGGAGTCGTGGCAATTTAACACTGCCACCAATTTGCCACCATTCTCTCTTCTGTCTCCCTCCCTGTCAATTTCTGGACCTGTGGGGAGCCTCTTCCTAGCCACATACTGGATCAGGACTGTGCCTTGGCTTGGTTCGTGGCCAGACTCAGTACATCAAATCCAACCTAGCACTTGGCTCCAGAGCCAGAGAGTGTTCCCAAAGCCAGTGCACAGAGCCAGACTCAGCACACAGCCTAGGAGCCTGTGCGCTGGATGGGGCCTTGCTGCATGGCCCCAGCACCGTGTTTTCACTTTAAAGCAGGGGTTGTCAACCAGGGGTACATGTACCCCTGGGGGTACTGAGAAGGCCCTGGGGGGGTACACGTGGGCAGGTGGTGTACCCCCCAGGGCCGCCACCCACAACCCTGTGCTGCTGCATTTTGGTTCAGAAGAGTCCTGCTTAAGACACCAAATGGCGCCACTCATAACCCTGCACTGCTGCCTCCCAGGAGCAGGGCCAGGGTGGGGCGAAGGCAGTGGCGCCCCTCTGCGGACTGCACAGGCTCCAGCCACGTGCCTCCTCCCTCCCCCTGCCAGTCTGGCTGCCTGCCCCCGCCTGCTCTGCGCCTGGCTGCCAGGGATATGCTTATTAAAAAAAGGTTGAAAACCTCTGCTTTAAAGCGTTCTTTAAAACATGCTGGATTAGGCCCTGCTGTGCTGTGTGCCCTCAGCCCTGGAGATTCCAGACCTCTGGTACTTACTTGAACTCCAAGGTAAGATTCCCTCTCCTTGAGGCTTGCCAAAAATATAGGGGGGATGTTTATATGCAAGAAAATATGGTATATTCATTCTTCATTTCTAAGTAATGTGAACTTCACCTTACAACTGGATTGGCAGACTTTCTGTACCTTTTTTACTGGCATCCAGTTATAGAATTAATTGGTCTGAACTTCTGTTTTTGTATTGCTGCCAGAGCTAAGGGCCAATCTTTTCATTCAGCTACTGTATCCTTAGCTCAGTGGGAAGAGGGATTCCTTTATAAACCTATTTCTATGTTTGGAGTAGGATCCAAATTCCATTGAACTTCATGGCATGACTCTAACTGACTTGGATTCAGCAGATTTGAATCAAGCTCTTTGCTCTTTGGATACCCTGAATTCTAAACTATTCTTAATGTAGATTACCAGCTCATGGTATAAGAGTGGGATGACTTGGAATAAACTATATTTGTATGCGACTTTAGAAAGGAGGATTGATCTTTCTGGACAGGTTTAGGAGACTGTGTCAGTTTCTCTGTGTCACAGACTGTCATTCAGGCCAGGTTGGTTTTCCTCTACCTTTCTTTTTATAGCCTCTGTTGCAAATTATTTGGAACAAAAGTTAGTACATGTCAGTGCAGTGGGGCCCTCGTCTCTGGTACTTGTGCGCTCTGTGGGGAACACAAACTTGTTGAAGAGAAGCATGGTTCTGTGTATACTTGTAGGTTGATCTCCAAGGATAGCAGTGATTTTTGTTTCAAATTCTTTTATTTAGCACTTCTGCTTTCTGCCACTAATGATTTGAGAGCACCATTAGCGAAAAACACTTAGTTTTAAATTGAATTTGTACTGAATTCATCCAAACACTATCCCCAAGTTAAAGCTTTATCATCTTATCTGAAACGTTCCTGGTTATAGTGACATCAGCTCTTGATTACTGAGAACATGAGAAGCTAGAATAGTTTGTTTGCTGTATGAAACATTGCAAAACTAACAGAACTGCCTACTGCTGTAAACTATTCCACGTTTTTGAATGCTTGGAGAAAAGAGACTGGCTGTCTCTCATAGTTTGAAGTCTTTAAGAAATGTATGTGTAAGCGTTAAAGGTTTATTAATTCTGAGGGACCAGATACAAAGCAAAAATAGAACTAGGTTTACAAACTGATACTTTATAGTCAATATGCAAAGGAATTTAATTGAGATGACAACCTTTTTTACTAAATCCAGAGCGTTAGCTTATTTTTACGTGTGGGTCTTCACTGGTCTACAGTATCCTGGATTGGAACAGTTTGTTCCTGTCCATACAACAAGCTTATGAGGTCTCTGAAAACCACATAGGTGTCTGACAGTTTTATAGATCAGGTTTAGGTAAACCTGGCATGTTCTAAATACTCAGTATGCTTGCAGTCTTCACACAGGGCCAGTGTTAAGGCCCAGCAGTCATACCATGGCATAGAAAAGATTTTACTAATTTTACTTGTACTAATAATGATCAGTAATGATTTTTTTCAGTATGGCTAATATCTTTCTCTCAGTGATTATCTGAAAGGTTGCACTTTGAACACATTCCTCTAAATGTGCTGCTGTTTCTAGCATTTTGGTTCAGAAGAGTCCTGCTTAAGACATCAATAGCTTGAAATTGTTCAAAGCTCTTGTAAAAGTCCAGTTTACTAGGACATATAAGGAGAAATATGTATATCATGACTTCCTTACCTATTTTTGTATGAAACAGGTTGTTTTCTATGTATCATTTAAACTTTTGGGGAAAATATTGATAACTGAAATAGTTTGATCAGAACCCAAAATTATTTAATTGAGATTGAGTTTGACTTTCATGGGGATTGTAGGTCTCATGATGAACCACTTTCTCCCTTTGGTGAGAGAGAGAGAGATGCATCAGACAAGTTTCTACGCATGATATATCATGGGAGATATAGTTTGCCCAGAGAGTACAGCCAACAGAGGCATATAGGAACATAAGGAGTGAACTGAAATTTCTGTGCATCATTCCTGGAGTACTGTGTCCGGTTTGGGCACCACCGTTTAAGAAGAATGTAGATGAACTGGAGAGAGCACAGAAGCAAGTGATAAAGATAAAGGAATTGTATAGAGAGAAGCTGAAAGAACTAGGCAAGTTTAGTCTGAAGACAAGAGGATTGAGGGGCTCAAGGTAGCAGCTTTCAGAAATTTGAAAAGGCTGCCATAAAGAAGATGGTGACACCTTGTTCTCCCTTGCTACAAACATTTGGAAAGACAGCAATGGGCTTAAACCACAGAAAAGTTGGTTTAGATCAAATCTCTGGAAAAATTTCCAAACTGAAGAAGAATAGGGCAATAGAATTAGCTGTCTGGGAAAGTTGTAGAAACTTCAGCATTAGAAGTTTTCCAGAAGAGACTGAACAGGTATCTATCTGGGGATGTTCTGGGGAAGAGCACATCCTGTACCTGTGCAGAGGGTTGGACTAGATAACATTCCAGGTCGTTTCCAACCCATGAGTCGGTTTTGGTTTTTGGATATTTTGCTATTTGGACAAAACTCCAAATGTTCTAAGATATATTGGAAAGCAGACAGCTTTTAGAAACATTGCACTTAATGGAAAATCCAGTTTTTCACTGGAAGTTTGGAAAGTCTTTGACCAGTTCTAAATTTAGAACACCCTTTATTTTTATTCTTTGTCCTGAATTCCTGTTTTCACAGTTCACATCTGTTTTTGTAGCTTTTCAATGATCTGTTCAAGAACAATGCAAACCGCTCTGAGAATACAGAGAGAAGACAAAACCAGAACTACTTTATGGAGATGGTGACAGTAGAGGGAGTCTATGACTACTTAATGTATGTTGGTAAGAAGCAATTTCTTCTTGTATTTAGCATGTGGTTTAACAGGGGAACCAAAAAATCAGGGTCTTTGATATGTACTACTAGAAAATCCTTGGTTTAATAATCACATTTCAGTTAAGTTTAGAACAATGGGTCAGTTAGGGACATAATCCCATGTTTACAGTTTCTGTTATGGGGTGTCATAGCAGTACCATTATTGTCTTAATCTTATTTCCTTGTATGTTTGTATCCTTTTCACTCCCACATAGGTTTCTTTCCTTAGAGAGTAAGCTGCTTTGGAGAATATCTTTGTCTTCCTATGTGTGCCTAGTCTGCCTGAGTCATCAGGGTGCTATTTAATATAAATAAATAATGCTATAACAGTACTTGACAAGTAAATAGGTGAACAGAATTTGTTGCAGTATTATTTGTAGGTTGAGACTAGGAATGGGGGGTGGGATAAGGCTGCAATAAGTTTGCTTCTATATTCTGAAACTGCTTTTATTAGTGTGTCTGTGTGCTACACTAATAGAAGCATTCTAGATGCGTGTAATTTTCACTATACAGGTCGAGTTGTTTTCCGGGTTACTGATTGGCTGCATCATCTTTTGATGGGGGGACGAATTCTCTTCAAAAACACGTTGGAGATGTACACGGACTGTTACCTACAGTACAAATTGGACCAGCTATTTCAGGAGCACCGGTTGGTCTCATTGATAACACTACTAAGAGGTGAGCAAATATTTTTCTCACCTCAAATATTTTCAATAATGCGGATATTTAATCTGCAGTAATGCCAGTTTTAACAGTCTTTGTGACTCCAACTTTATGCTTGAAACCTTTTGCAACAGGCCTAGTTGCTTTCCTGGCTGTACAGCACATGAAAAACAGCAAGTTTTAGAAACCCAGCAAATGGGTAGGAGTTCCAAAAATTAAAGCTGCTGCCCAGTGTTAACTTGGTCCTACTGCCTATCCAATATATGTTATAGAACAAATGGAGTATTTTGAACAATTCACCCTGAAAAGGGAAACGGGAACAAAAGACTGATCAACCCAATGCAGCTAATAATGCATTTGATTTTTGGAATTTTGACTTGTAATTTGGGAACTTGGCTCTTTGTGATGAATTAACACTAGCATTTTACATTCCATTTCCCTTAAGATAAGACAGACAAAAATGGCTAACAAGTACTGGTATACTACAGACTAAAAATTGGCATAACTAACCAAATACCTTGAGAGAAGACCAATTCTGTTAACTTCAGCCCAAAAAGAGGGATCATGAATGGGTGAATGCAAAGAGATTGAAGCTTTGAGTGACTGAAAATGCTCAAGACATTTTTTAGCACTTCAGGGAAAAGGTGGCTATTTCAGCAATCCCCATTATTAATGGAGAGCAGATTGATATAATCTGGAGCCTGCTAAGAGAAATAGAGAGAGGGGATTGTAGGTAAGTGGGATAGAACTACTTACAGTGGAACTTCTACATAAGAGATAAAAACATGAGAGGAAATGAGTTGGTAGAGCACTGCTTTGCTTCAGGCAAATTAGGTGCTCCTGGGTTTGAGCAGGATAACCTTAGAAGGCACCAAGCTGGCAAGTGGCATGACTGGAACATACTTCCATTAAAATTATAAGGAGAAAAATCTAGTTCTGAAGAGAGAATTCAAAATTAGTAACAGCTTTTGCACACAATGTCTTGGAAACAAGCTCTTAAGTGTCTTTTGTTCACTTTCCTGATTCAGATGCTGTTTTTTGTGAAAATACAGAACCTCGCTCTCTCCACGATAAACAGAAACGAGCAAAGCAAACCTTTGAAGAAATGATGAGATACATTCCAGGTTTCATATCTTTATAACTACTTTAACCCCTTGTTAATCATTCAGAAAGACACAAATATAATACCAGCATTGACTTGCCAAGCTAAGGTTCTGCAGCTTAATAATACTTTCTTTTCATAGTTTGAATACATAATTTAAATTTTCATAAACTTAATCCAAATGGGTCTTTGGTATAATGTTTATGTAATCATAGAATCATTGAAAAGTAGGGCTGAAAGGAAAGTCAGGAGGTCATCTAGTCCACCCCCTTGCTCAAAACCAGGTCATTCCTATCAAAACCATTGCAACCACATGTTTATCTAACTTGTCTTAGAAACTTCTAATGATGGGAACTCCACGACCTCTTTAGATTGCCTGTTCCACTGCCTAACCACCTTCGTTGATAGAAAGCTCTTTTGAATATCCACCCTACACTTCCCTTGCTGCAAACTTGCCAAACTAACTTGTCATCTTTCTTGGGCAAGATATGTTGTTTGGTAGATAAAGGCAATGCAGTGGATAATATCTGGACTCTTTAAGTCTTCTGATGCTGACCCAGGTGACATTTTCCTAAGCAAACTGGAGAATTAGAAAAATTAGTTAGGCAACTGGTTGAATAATTGTAAGGAAAGGACATGTATAAATGGGTCAGAATTGCAGGAGGCTTCAAGTGGGGCTCCATCAGGGTCTGTTCTATGACTTTTGATCCTGGACTAGATCTGCTTCATTGAGTTTGCAGATGACAAAAGTGGAAAAGGTTGCAAAGTCTGGAGAGTAGTAGAATTAAAAAAACAAACAAACAAAAAACAAAAAAACCTTCATAAATTCAGGAGCTGTGCTAGAGGTGATTAGAACTGAAATTCAAAAAGATATGTAAAGTGCTATACATGGGTTGTGGGGGAAAGAAGATGCACAAATGCAGACTAGGAGGTAGTAGTATTGCGTGAGAGATCCAGGGGTTTTGATGGGATGATGGACTTAACATGAATTGCTAATTTGATGTAGTTGCAAAACAGAAAATGCGTTTTGGGCTTTTATATTATGGTGTGTAAGACGTAGGAGGTGGTAGTGCCATTCTGTGATGCTGGTTAGGCACAGTTGCAATATTGCGCAGTTTGGGGTTCTACATCTTAAAAAGGATGTAGAGCAGTGGTCACCAACTGGTTGATCTTGATCAGCTAGTTGATTGTGGAGCCTCTCTGACAGTTGATCTATCTGGGGATGCTGAGTGCGTGCTCAGCGACTCCGCGATCCGGAGCAGCGGGACGAACATGCTGAGTGGCCGGGGCAGGACAGTGGCCGGACGTACATGGCTGGACTGAGCTGCATCCCCTGCCACCAGGGCCAGGCTGGATGTAGAGGAACTCCTTCAAATATGTGGGAAGTCAGAGAAAGAACAAGGATGGCAATGGGCACCTGAGAGATCCAACGGGGCAACTGATTTTTCCAATGCCCAAAAAAGGGCCAATCTTCTAAGTGACTTTTTTGCATCAGTTTTTCACCCTCGCAGGAGGATCACACTGTTGGGAACAACATAAACTAATCTGGGAGCGGGCAACAGACCTAAAATCGATGTGGATCAGGTGAGGGAACACCTTGAGAAACTGGAGATTCACAGGTCTGTGGGCCCAGATGGAATGCACCTGATAGTCTTGAAGGAGCTGGCAGACACCATTGTACCCCCCCCTCCCCCCGGCAGAGAGATTTGAAAAATTGTGGTGCTTGGGCGAAGTCCCGGATGACTGGAAAAGAGCCAGTGTGGTCCCTATCTACAAGAAAGGGAAGAGGGATGACCTGGGGAACTATAGACCAATCATTCTTGGGTCCATCCCTGGAAAAATCCTAGAGAAAATTGTCAAGGGATCCATCAACACGAGACTGAGGGAAGGCAAGCTTCTGAATGCCAGCCAACATGGCTTTGTGACTGGCAGATCATGCCTGACCAACCTCATCTCCTTCTAGGCACAGGTTACCTGGTCCCTGCATGAGGGAGATGACATGGATGTCATATATGACATCAGGGCGATCAGTGGAGTCCCTCAGGGCTCAGTACTTGGGCCAGTACTCTTTAACATCTTCATCAATGATCTGGATTCGGGAGTCAGATGTGAACTGGTGAAGTTTGTGGATGATACCAAATTATGGGGTATTCATACTGATTCCTGGCTCTTTATTGATTCTTTCTTCTCCTTGGTCTCTGATTTTGTAAGTGTTTAATTGCCGCTCATTAACATACTTATCCAGACTAGCTACTGTATTACACAGTCAACCATGAATCATTCGGGGACCTGCTCCATACAGAGATTCCTGCTTTTGCTAACATTGTTATATGGTACAACTTACTTTTAAACTTAAAGTACATTTGTAAAAGCATCTACAAGCTCTATTTTCACTACAAATACACCTTGTATAAAAATAATAATGATATGATAAAAGAAAAAGGAAGGAAGAAAAGGTAGAAAAGAGAAAGCATCCCCAAAAGGAGGCAAATACTAAAAGAGGGGCTTTTGCCATATGGAGGAGCTTCACATTTGAGGGGGGGCAGACAAAAGGGTTTCTTGCTACAAATGCAGAGAAGTGTATGGTGCTGCACCTCAGTAGGAAGAACCCCCAGCATACTTACAGGCTCGATGGTGCTATGCTCGCTAGCACCATGACCGAAAGGAACTTGAGGGTCTTGATTGACCACAAGATGAATATGAGCCACCAATGTTATGCTGTGGCTGGCAAAGCTAACCAAACTCTGGTGTGCATCCACCGCTGTATCTGAAGCAAAACCAGGGAAGTCATCCTCCCTCTTTACTTGGCCCTGGTGAGGCTGCAGTACTGCGTCCAGTATTTCAGGAAGGATGTGGAGAAGCTTGAGAGTCCAGAGGAAGAGCCACTCATGTGATCCAAGGCCTGGAGGGTAGACCATACAAGAAGAGGCTGAGGGACTTGGGGACTCTTCAGTCCAGAGAAGAGAAGGCTCAGGGGGTCTTGGTAACAGCCTACAGCTACATAAGAGGGGTATGTCAGGACCTGGGAGAACAGCTGTTCACTAGAGCTCCACAAGGGATAAGAAAGTCTTACGGCCATAAACTCCAGGAAGGCCAGTTTAGACTGGATATAAGTAAGTTCTTTACAGTGCGTGTCCAGGGTCTGGAACAAACTTCCCCCGGAGGTGGTGCAAACACCTACTCTGGACTTTAATGTCTATGAAGTCTATGAACTGGAGAGGGTCCAAGTCATCTGAGGAAAAGGTGAGAACTTAAATAGACTTAGTTCAGCAAAAAGACATTAAGGATGAACATAATATAAGGTTTCAGATATTTGAAAACTGCTGTGTTGAAGAGGGGGGCTGCTTTTCTCCCCGGCAAAGGATGTAACCTGCTGGAAAGTAGATTCAGAGTTAATTAAAAATAAATGTCTTTATTCTCAGAACAGTAGTACAATGGAACAAGCTGCATAGGGAAGCTGAAGGAGTTTCTACAAGAAGAGCTAGGATGAACATTTGACAGGCATGATTTTAGGACTGTCATGTCCCACTTCTGTACAGGATGGGGCAGTCCTGATGACACTGGTGATCAAAACAAATCCTGTGTTGTTAACCTAGCTGAGGAGTGATTTGCTCATCTTAAGTCTTTCATGTTCCTTGCTCACAGAGCCCAGTTTGAAATTGGGTGAAAAAAGGACCCTCAGTGAAAGGGGGAAAAAAAGAGAGAGAGCTGAGCTGCACTTCCCTTCATGCATTGAAGCGCCTGAAATCAGTACAAAACCACTTCAGGTTTTAATCAACAAAGTACTGGCTATTTGAGTTTGCTTTTCTGTCCTCTAAGTCTTGGAAAGATTCTTTCAACAATACAAAGCTAAATAAGGGATTTAAAAAATAAATCCTGTGCAGTGGGTTGGATCACACAGGATTTTTTTTTCATCTCGAGAGGTCATAAAAATAAGTTCTAGCTCTAGATCTCATGCAACTTATTAGTAGAGAATGTACCTAACTCTTTTATATTTAATAAAAAGAAATCTCGGACTCAGTTGGCACTTAAATTCTATTTTGCAGCAGATCTATAGCATACTGACTTGTATTGAATTTTTATCCAGGCATTACTTCACATATGACATAATTAATTAATTTATAATGCCTTCTCATAACCAGCACAAAATGTTCATATCTGGCCTAGATTTGATATCCAAATGCATTGGAGAAGAGGCTAAGTATGAAGGTATCAGGCTTCTATTCGATGGAATGCAGCAGCCGGTGCTTAACAAACAGGTACATAAAAACTGTTTGATGTTTTCAGTGTTTCATAAAGATTTTCAGATACATTTTATTTACCCCCAGGTAATGTACAGATTCACAGTTTAATACAGACTATCAAAACAGTTTCAATGTCTTAGTGTTGTCACAAGAATTGACATTGACTCTGAGAGTTGTGATTTTGTTTTTGTTTGTTTGTTTTTTAGCTGACTTATGTTCTATTGGATATCGGGATACAGGAATTGTTCCCAGAGATCAATAAGGTACGTGATAGCAAACCTATGGAAAGAGCTGCAGGAAAGTTCTTTGTTTTGTATTTTATGAGCAGATAGATTAGAAATCCCAATACAATTCTGATGTCATGTTTTGGCAGGAAAGTTAATTCTGCTGGAGAAAGTGTGTGTTTACTATGCTGCAAGTTACTTTTGGGACCTAAACTCTAATTTTTACCAAATATTGCTTCAGCCATTCAGGCCCAGCCCTTCAGGCCTGGAGGCCCCAATGTGCTGAAAGCTGAAGTGCCTCCTGCAGTCGAACTGTACAGTACATCCAGCACGGGAGGAAGGGGGTCTGTGTGCCTTGCTTTACCATTACTGACAGATAATAATGGACATGTAAAACCTTGTGAAGCAATTGCAAAATATCTTCATGTTAATCAAAAAAAATAAAAAAATCGTGGAGATTTAAAGACCTTGAATCTGATTATGAATGCCATAGCTTGGATGCTGAAAATGCCTGTGCCCAGGAGTAGGGTAACACTTAACCCCAAATAATATCAACTTGTTGGACCCACTATTTCAGTTTTTGCTTGATAAATAGAAGATAGTGATAAATATCAGAAGAAATGAAGGCGATCTACATGACTAACTTAAGTGAGTGTTCTTTGTAAATTGACCTACTTGGTACACCAGATCCATGCCTACTGCCTCTTCATTTAGAAGTTGTTAGTGCACTTAATTTTAAGTGAGTAGAGCACGGTAGGGAAAAAGGGGAAGCAGCTTTATGGCCTGTGTACTACTATAATGCCAGTTCCTGCTTTAATCCACTGAACTCTTGGTCATAGCAGATAATGAAGGGAATATTAACTAATCCCTTTTAAAGGCTTCCAAATGAAGCTGTAAGAAGTTTTAAAGTTTTTAAGTCTTGATATTTCAATGATTTGTCAGCTCTAACATAAGAAGGCGCTTCCTGCCTTGTGCTCCAAGTGGGCAGTTCATGAAAGCTGGTTCTTCAAAAGGCAGAGCAGCTTTTAGTAAAAATTGAGGTTGTAAATCAGCAGCAACCATAAGGTTTGGCAGCTTTTACAGCCCTCTTCGCAAGTGCTGTATAACCAGAGAAGACTAATTATGCTGCTTCCGAATGTTGGTCAAGGCTGGGTTTAAAAAAAGCTTTGAGTCCACTCTCCACCCTAGCCTGACTGACTGCGGAGCTGAGGTCTTGATGTGTCAGGCTCTCCCTGCTTCCCATAATTGCCAGTGGGGATGGCAGGGGGGCTCCAGTGGCTGAGCAAGAACAAATGAGCCTTCACTCATAGTTTGGTCATTCCCTCATTTTGGATGGCGAGCTTTTCCTAGGACTACACACCTTTTTGTGAAAGTATTTTGGTAAATATAACCAAGGACTAAGAAGGGAGGGAGGCATTGCAAAAGAAACCGGTATGAGTGGAAAGGTTGCCGACAGGACAGAGCAGGGCATGGGGTGAAGGAGAGGACACAAGTTCTGGAGTCCCAAAGTATCCTGGGAAACGAGAGAGAATAACAGAGAATTACTTGATTGTAGGGTGGGGCAAAGAGGCACTTTCATCTCCTTCTGACAGCCAATCTTTCCCACTGATTTTGCATCTGAAATGTTTGTCTCCCTCCTAGAAATATTTGTACCTGCACCCTCCTGTTTTGAACAGGTTTTGGAAGCAAATCCTTTCATCAGAAAACAAGTCCTGAAATTGAAACTGTTACCACTAGTTATCAATCAACTATCTTTTGTCCCTCCCTTGCTCAAAAAAAGATGCATGTGTGGTGTGGCCACAGTTTCCGTGAGTCCTTTGGGATGTGTGTTCATGTGAAGAAGTAACGTTATGACTGCTTATCCACAGGTGGTTTGCCTTTCTGCTTTCAATTCAGTGAAAGGTGTTCCTTTTTTCCAGTTGCTGACTAGCATTAAAACTAAATATGCATTCAAATTCTGAGTAAGGAGTACTGGAAGAAATTGAACTCCTACCATGGCTATTTAAAGAGGGGCTTAGCACACCAAAGGGCCTGTCTTGAGCCATTTTTGGAGTGTTGCTATTTTGGAAAACTTAATCATACGTCCATTATGGTGTGGGGCTCAACTAATCTTTTAATTTGGGGGCAAGCATGCTTCTGCCTTAGCCACCAAGTTTTTTGTTTGAGCCAGCATCACTGGAACATTCTGCATGCTGAAATGTCACTTTAAAGATACAGTGGGCTGCTAGAAAGCTGTAGGTTTATTGGACTGCTAACACAGATAAATTTGTAATTGGTTGTGGAAAATAATCCCACTTGGGTTTAGTTCCCTATTTGGCAAATTATCTTGAGATCTGCCATCTAGGATTCTTATTTGATTAGACTTGTCCTGACCCAGCATAGTGTCAGAGGCCCTGGAACTAAATGAAACATGTTTATGCAAGTTCTGCCTGTTTAAGAGACCTGCAAAATCCCATTATATAAATTCAGTCTCAAACACAGTGTTCATCTAATCTCCTGGAGTCCTTTGGCAAGGGAGGCATTTGGGGAAGGACAGGAACAGCATACAAAGATGGAGAATATTTTCCAGGAAGGAGGGATTCTAGACTTGAGTTCAGTGTTCAAAAAAGCTGGCGTATGCATAGGAAATAGCACAAACTATATGTTTAGGACTAATTGCCTGATTTTTTTAAGATGCTACAGACATGGCTGTTACTCGTATTTGGTTTCTAGTAATTTGTTTAAAATCTTTTGTTCATTGTGCTCTAGGTGGCTGACTAATAAACACGTGCTTTCAAATTTCAGTAAATGAAGGTGTAATTCTTTTTCAATTACTCTTTATACTAGGTTCAGAAGGAAGCTACCTCTGTATCATCTTGGATGTAGAGGCAGAATAATCTACCTAATCACCTAATGAAAATGTTTCTGATGCACTAATTTAATGGTTATGTGATATTTTAATCTTGCATTGTATATTTGCTTGTAAATAACGTAAATTTTAACTTTTGAAGATCTCTTTACCCAATAAAGATGAATTCAGATTTAATACTGATTTGAAATTAAAATGTTTGTCCTGTTACTTAAACTTCTTCTTCCCCTCCGAGGTTTTTGGCCTTCATGTTTTTGGCTTTCTGTTAGTATGAACAACTCTTTCTTTAGAAGAAAAGCATTTTTGCTAATAGTTGCAATATTTAGTTGCAAGTGACCTTGATGCATGAAGCACTTTGGAAAGGATTTGGTAGTGGGGGGGTGGGAAAAATTGGTGGTGAAAAGTTTCGTTGCTCTTTATTTGAGATTGTAATGTTGGAGAGATCTTTTTAACCTGCTTGTGATGGAAAAAAGCATATAGGATTAGAAAAGTGGGGCAGGGGCCTTTAATTGTTTCTCAATAGAATGTGCTTAAGCAATTTTCCCCATGTCTTAATATGTCTGTCACTTCAAGGTCCTCTCTTCTCCCCTCAAATCTTAAATGTGCTTTTCAAGTGGCTCCAGTCCCTGTGTGCGTGATCTTAAGAAATCTGCAGCACTGTTTTACTTTATGTAGTTATATTTATGTAAGCTACATCTTGCTGGCACTCCTTGGCTGTGTTTTTTTTAATATCCATGCCAAATTAAATTTTTCATTTACAACACTTGAGTACATAAGAATTCTTACAGTTTTAGATTTAAATCTTTACTATTTTGACTCATTTTTATAACCATTTAACCTTTACCCTTTCCTTCTCTTCCTACATCAGTATGGGTTAACTGCTTCATTCCTTATGATGTCTTCTGCTTGCCTGCCTTGGCAGTACCCCCTGCCCTTTTTCTGTAGCCTATTTAAATTACTTTATTAAACTGTTTAGTTACCCCTGCTCTCTGCAAGTCCATTCACAGAATCTGATCAAGTAGTGAATGCTTGTTTCTCTGAACCAGTTATTCTTTAAGGTGCCACCCTGCCCTGCCTTTCTACCTGACTTTAGATTAACACGGCTAACTGCCTCACAGATGGTTATTTTAACTCTGCAGGACAACCTTGCCTTTTTGGGTAACCCAAAAGATCCATTATAATGGAAGCCAAACAGGTGTGTTGACTCATGGGTGTAACTTACTGTTCCTGGTATCCATGGAGGAGGGACCATTTCATTAATTGGAACAGGTTTTGTACTCAGTCTTTGACCGTCAGGTAACTTTTATGTAGAAACAAATTGCTTTCTACATTTAAAAAAAACAAAAAAAAAATTGTGAGAAGTTTGTGTAAGGAACTGGGATATTACAACACTGAGGTGATGGTGAAATCCAATTTCAGAGAAACATCCTTCTGTAATTATTTGGCACAGCTTTAAACAGCTGAGAATAAAGCAGATGCTGGTACCTGTACAGAGTGTGTGGGGAAGGGATTACAAAACCCTAATCTGTCAGTGTTCAAACCAATCTCACAAGAAGGGCTTGAGACTTTTTACGAAGTGTGGAATATACCATACTTGCCTTCTGTGGGGCTCTTGCATCCTTTTGAGAGATCTGGTTCTGGAAATGATTAGATTATGATGGATAGTGGGTCTGACTCAGAAAGCTATTTCTAGGTTTCCAGCCATATTTAACAAAAGACAGCCAGTCTCTTTCCCCTGGTCCCTTCCCTTGGAGGAGCAGAATATGGGACAAACAAATAACTTGTTTGAAATATGTATTAAGGTAAACATGTTGTCTGTAACTTCCTTATACTTTAAATAAAGTATGTCCCTTGCAGCAGAGCTGATCATCTGATACAGTTCCATAGAGCTTGGGACTTTCCAGTTAATTTTTGTTGGGAGGTGTCTATTTTGTAAGTGCACAGAATTGATTCCCTCCCCACCCCGCAGTAATAATTTGCCACTATAATGCTTTAGTGTTGCATCTTTCATTAAAGAGCTCCTGTGAGTAACACGCTGAGTGGCTGGGCTCTTACACTGATGCCTGTAGTTCTGGCTTTCCAGGACTTTAATGAAGTTTAGCTGGTTTGCAGTTTGCTTAATATCTACAACAATGCATAGCATATGGAAACATTTTAATAAAGCCCAAGTTCCAAATCTGAATTACCTTATGTTTTTTTTTCTTTTGCTAAAATTGTATTATATTGCTGCCATTTTCAAACCGGTTAAATTTGTTTGCAGTCATTTTATAAGCAGTGTCTGCCCTTTCGGCAGTCTCTTGGTAAAAAGTGTTTGTTAAATACAAATGCTTGTTTTGTGCCTGCTAACTCGCTTTCTGCCAATGCATGTAAAAACACAAAACCACCCTGTGAGTGATGGACAGTCTTCCTTAGAGAAATGCTGTGGCTCATATTTGAGAGAGAGCCCACTTGTCATCGTGATGAAAAGTCCAGGCTTTAGGACTTTTTAAACCAAACTACACTCAGCTGTGAATCCATTAGCTACTAAGCTTGGTGTGTGCCTGAGACCTCAGAAGGTACCAACATGCTATACTGACATTCATCCTTGTTGCTCTTGCTTTCAGGTGATACTCAGGAGTCATGTGCTGCTGGTAGTCCTCTCATATGAATGATCCATAAAAAAAAATTAGGTCCTTAACATGCATATTGGTTTGGTAGTCGCACAGCACGCTTGTTTTTGAGAGTTAGATTTTTAACTGGTGTTTTACAGAAACAAATTGGGAGAATTGCGTTCTCATTACATGTACTTAAATTACCTGCTCACCATAACTATTGAAACTAGGTGTATTAAACAGCAAGTGATCAAGTCCAGCTTTTCATTAGGTTCTTTCTTGGTGTGATAGTGGTAAGAATACAAGTGTGCCTGTAACCTCAAATAAGAAGAATAAAAATTAATTGCCCGTGCTGGTGTCTTAATGGCATTTGGCTCAGTCGAAGATAAGTATGTTTGAAAGCTAAGTACAGTTGTTACAGTGAAGGTCTCAACCCTGAGTGAAGATCAAAGGGAGGTAGTAATGTATCACTGGGTGCATCTACACAAGACATTTACTGCAGAGTAGACTAATTATCTTGGTAGTAAATTTTTGTGCATCTGCATGTGTGCCCCTATTAGGCTGGAGTAAACTAATTAACTCTGCAGCAGGATAACTATCCTGCTGCTGAGCTTTTTACTCCGCAGCAGAGAACACATAGATGCTGCCCCAGCTGATTGGGGCACAAGGATGCTTTAGTGACGGCAAAGGCTGCCTGCTGGCTAGCCCCACACTGGAGCACCCTCATACCCCAGCCAGCTCCTGCAGCATGTTATGCAGTCCCAGATGCACATTCAACTGGTGTACCCAGAAGCAATAAGCTCCAGAGTTTGCTTTCCATGAATTGCATGTGTACACATGTCCACTAAACTTGCTTGGGCTATTGACAGTGGATTCTTTCTCAACTTTACTGGATGAGAGGAATTTGAGAGGAACTGAAGAACCCGCAAGTGATCAGGAGTGTACTTGTTAGTGCTTCTACCACCATGCAAATTAATCTGTAGAACATCCTTTGTTTCAATACTGTGCCCCTCTTTGAAGCATGAGCTTGAGTTTGGGAGTGTGGAGAAGTGTGCTTGCACCTGCTGCTCTGAATTTGAGAACATACTGGCCAAGCTCCTCCTTGAATCCCCTCGTTCTGCCTGATCATCTTCCTAGCTTTCACCTGTTTGGATGAGTGATCCCAATAGTAGACTCTTCTCAGTGGTGGCAGATGACAGAACAAGGAGCAATGGTCTCAAGTTGCAGCAAGGGAAATTTAGGTTAGATATTAGGAAAAACTTTCTCACTAGGAGGGTAGCAAAGCACTAGAACGAGTTACCCAGAGAGGTTTTGGGTTCTCCTTCCTTGGAGGTTTTTAAGACCCAGGTAGATAAAGTCTTGGCTGGGATGATCCTGCTTTGAGCAGGGGATTGGACTAGATGATCTCCTGAGGTCCCATCCAACCCTAACTTTCTATGACACTCTGAATGCTGCTATCTGCCTGTGGAGGTCAAACGTTTATAAAAAAAAAAAAAAAAAAAGGGCAAGAGATGAGGAAAGAAGCCCAAAAACATTGCTAGGAGAATTAAGAGGAGAGAAGCCCAAAAACATTGCTAGGAGAATTAACTGAAGTGTAGGAATGTTACAATGAGCAAAACTGAAACCAGAGTAAGACTTCCTTGGATGAAATTTCCAGCGGAAAATTTCACTCGACCGTCAACTGCTGGAAAGACTTTTCCCATTCTAGCAAGGTAACGTGAGACTACATCAATGTCGAAATCACCTAGAGGAAAGAAAATTGTATGCAAGTTGTTATTGCATGCAACTGTATGTTATTACAAAGCTAGTGCTACAGCTGCTATTAATCTTTGAGATGCTACTACTTTTAAATGCGTGTTCCACTTGGGGTGAAAAAAGTAGAAAGTGTGTTCTTTCTGTTCAGGAGAAGGCACAATTTTATGAATCAGAGAGATGGGGGGAGAGAGGGTAAGCTACTCACATGCCCTCCACGGAGAGGGATAGTCAGTCTTTTCATGTTGACTGTGTCTGTTGCTGGCAACTTGCCTTTCACTGGATGATAACGTTCTCTTTCCATCAGTTTCCTTGGTTTAGCTGATGGACATGGACTAATGGACACATAGAGCAGTCTCAAAAAGGGAGAGGGTCCTGCTGCACCAGACTGTGCAGCACCTGTTATGCAATTGCATCTGCAGGAGCCTGCAGCGATGCAAGTGAGCAAAACTCTCCCAGCTTTAACCCTGCTTCATCCAGGGCTAAAGTAGGATGACTGAATTCACTTGTATTGTTGCAGGCTTGTACACATAAGTGTTGGAGAACAACAGCAGCTGCATGACAATTATGCAAAACATTTACCCAATGGTAGATAAAGGACTGGTGGGTTGGCTTAATTTGAAAAGGCTCATCAATATCTCATTTGAAAAGGGAGAAGACATAGAGCAGCAGGGCTGGAAGGGACCTCCAGAGGTCATCTAGTCCAACCCCCTACTTGAGGCAGCATAAACCCTATCTAAACCATCCTCTACAACCCATGATCTAAGCCAGGGGTTCCCAGCCTTTTTATGCTGAGGACTGGAAGTAACCACAGACCAGCAGTGCCCAGCATACTGCAGGCAGGCAACCAACTCTCTTTTTTTTTTTTTATACTGAATACTGTACTGAGTACAGTATAAAATGGGTTGGCTGCCAGTCTGCAGTCCATGGTCACTTCTGGTCTGGCAGCCAGCCCTCCTGCAGATTGGCAGCTGACCCTTTGTGGCCCAGGGGTTGGGAACCCTGATCTAAGCTCTATGCAATAATACTGTCCATCCAGCTACAACAGACATAACATCCCAATTGGCCAGTGATTAAAGCAGGGGACCCATGGCAGTCAATGCCCTGCTTCTATCAAATGTTGTCAATATATGCTCACAAGATTCCAGGAAGAAGGCTGTGCCCCCACTACAAAGGGAGGCAAAACCCCCACAGTCCATACAGAGGAAGGCAGAGCCCTCTGCAATCCACACCAATTTGACCATGAGGTAAAATTCCTTCCTAATTCCAAATATGGTGATTGGTCTGATGCTGAGTGGATGGGAAAGACCCCTCTAGCCAGAGACTTTGGGCTCTGGTCCAAGCAGAAGTGTTGGTGCACCCCAGTCAAAGTCCCTAGCTTTGGCTGTAGCCAACACCTAATGCCTTTGAGGGTGGCTTAAAAACTCTCAGATGCATGTTGCAGAAGGCTGGGGCAGGGCAACCAGGAAAGCCCAGAAGCATGGGAAATGCCACTGTAGAATATAGGCATAGTTATGCCTAGATCATCCCTGATCAATAGCTATCCAATCTCTCCTTGAGCACCTCCAGTGATGGAGAGTCCATAACTTCCCTGAGCTATTCCATTGCCTCACTATTCTAACAGCAAAGTTTGTTTGTTTGTTTGTTTGTTTTTTCTGGATAGCCAATCTAAACTTACTTTGCTGCTATATAAAAGCATTGGTCTACATCCTCTCTGCAGTGAAAAAGAAAAGGTGTTGTCCCTCTTCAAAGCAACTTTCAAGTATTTGAAGACTGCCATCATTCCCCCTCTTGAGCATCTTTTCTACATGCTGAGCATGCCTAGCTCCTTCAGCATCTCCTTATATGACTTGCTTTCCAAGCCCTTTAATTATTTTTGCCTACCTCCTAGGTCCTCTCCACATCCTTTTTAAAATGTGGAGCCCAGAACTGTACAGCATGCTCCAGATAAGAGGGCCCTAACCAGTGCTGAGTAGAGGGGCACTCTCACCTCCAGTGTCTTGTGCCTAACTGCTTCTATTGATGCAGCTCAAAACTGCAGATTCATTGAGTCTGTAATCTATCGAGACTCCCAAGTCCTTTTCCATAGTGCTGCTACCCAATTAGGTGTCACCCATTTTATATTTATGTTCTTATTTCTCCTGAGGTGTAGTACCTTGCATTTGTCCATACTGAACTTCATTGTGTTAGTTCTACCTCAACTTTTCTAATCTGTCAAAATCCTTCTGAATTACACTTGCATCCCTCCAATGTGCACTCAGTCCTTCACAGTTTCATGTCATTTACAAACTTGATCAAGAAGCTTTCTATGTCAGTATCCAAATCGTTAATAAATGCATTGAATAGCATTAGGTTCAAGACAGACCCCTGTGGGACTCTACTCGAAATCTGCCATTCTGCTATGGTCCTATTAATAAGTACCCTTTGCTTGTGGCTATTGAGCCAGCTATTTATCCATCTTGTAGTAGTTTTATCCAGCCCACATTTCTCAAATTTGTTTATCAGGAAGTTGTGCAAGACCTTGTCAAAAGCCTGGCTGAAGTCCAAATATGCTATATCCACAGTATACCCATAATCCACCTAACTAGTTACATTATCAAAGGAGGAGATCAAGTTTGTTTGACATGATTTGTTCTTTCATAAATCCATGCTGGCTGCTTGTGATAAGCCTTTCCTCCTCTAGGTGCTTGCAAATGGCCTTCCTTAGGATATGCTTTAGTAACTTTTCAGGTGTTGAGGTGAGGCTAACTGGTCTGTAGTTCCCTGGCTCCTCCTTGTTGCCTTTTTTAGAGAGCATTACATTGGCCCTTTTCCAGTCTTCTGGTACCTGGCCCATCTTCCACAACTTCATGAAGATCATTGCCAAGGGCTCTGAGATGTCCTCTACCAGTTCCCTCAGTATCATGGGATGAAGCTCATCTGACCCTACTGACTTGAATTCATTCAGACCCAACAAACACTCTGACAGTCTCTTTTGTTATGTCATCTCTGTTTGACCCCTTCCTTATCCAGATAATCTGCTTTAGGTGTATAGCTACAGCTTAATTTTTTTTTTGTGAAGCCTGAAGCAAATAGCTGTTGAGTACATCTGCCTTCTTTATGTCTTGTTAGGAGTTTCCCATGGCTTGTTAAGAGTGGACCCACAGCTTCCTTCATGGGCAGCTGGTGATTTTCAAGTCACAGGGGGCATGTACCCCCCCCTCCACAATCAGTCCTTGACGGGGCTGCCTCGGGGGTGGGGCAGGGGGCAGTCCCTGGCGGCCGATCTTACTCACACAAAGCAGCTGCACCGCAGAAGTCCTGTGGCCACTTCTGGAGGCAGTGTGGCCGGTTTTGCTGGCAGCCCTGCACCCCAGTCAGTGCTCACAGGGGCACCAGTGCTCCCGCCTGCCCCACTGCCTGTCGCCTAAACAGGGAGCGCAGCCTGCCGGGGAATGCACCAGCACACTCGGGGTGCATATATACCCCCTCCATGTTGCCACTGGTTTTCTTAGTCTTTCTTTTCTGGTCATCATATAAAACCCCTTGTTGTCCTTAACCTCCTTTACCAGGTGCAGCTCATTCTTTAGCTTTGCTTTGCTGATTTTGTCCCTGCAGGTTCTTGCTTTTTCCTAGTATGTGTCCTTGATGACCTGCCCATTTCCTCATTCCTTGTATGCTTTTCTTTTGCCTTTGAGGCATTTCAGAAGCTTTTTGTGCAGCCACATTGGTCTCTTGCCATCCTTCTTGTGTTTCCATTTTGTGGACAGTCTCTTGTTGGGCTTCTAATGCCTTTA